TAAGCTGGCCTCATCCTACAAACCTGGAAGACGGTTGGGACAGGATCAGGGTATTCAATCTAACATGTCATCCAGATTTTAGTGGCAGTTCGGACTTGAGTCCAAAACATCGAGCTATTCCACCTCCCTTCTTTAGAATTAATTTCAGGAGTACAAGTTTTCACAGTAACAATCTGCCATCGAACTCACAGCGCCGTTAAATTTGTATAACCGTCTACAGGATTCTGGGGTTTTCGCTTTATGTTGTTTCCAAATTCCTTTTCAATCAGCCTTTTGCCTGCAATTTTAAAAAAAAATTTCCTTATATTTCAGGCATATCAAATGGTTGACAGCTAACGGACCCCCAAGCTCGTATATTTTAAAGTTTAAGTGAAATCTGTTGAGGCAGCAGCTTTCTGCATGTCCTTTACTATGGAATTTTTTTTGATGGTTGAACACTGCTTCTATCACCCTGCTTTTATCAGTCGCCCGCTTTCCAATCTCACATCGTTCAGTCTTATTTCACCAACACTCGTTGTGAACTGGTCAAAAGATAAGATGTGGCATAAGAGACACCCAGTAGAAAATATTCAGTAGATGTCTAATCTCATGAAATTTGACCCGAAATTCTGAAATGCGTTTTCGATTCAAACATATTAATTACGTATAGTTGTAAGAATGACGATCTTACAGCCTAATCTCAATACATTTTGGTCACGTCAGGATACCAGCTTTTTAATGAGCATCTTTCAGACAGCTACTAAAAAGTATGTACTGTAAAAAGTGGCTACTTAAGTAATATGCATTTTCCTCATTGATTCTGACTGTCTTTATAAATTCAAATATATTTATGAAAACATAAACGAAAAAATTATTTCTTGTACTCGTTCTGTAGCCAAATGCACTTTTTTAAATTTTATACTTGACGAAGGGGTATCTTTCGGTTTTAAAAATTTTCTAATTATGAGCTTTTTTACGATCGTGAGGTATTTATTCATTATAAATCACATCCGTCAATTTATTAATGCTGCCTTTAATGTATACAGCATGTTCCACATCTGAGAAGAAGAAGACTCGATCGCTGGGACAATACGTTTATTCGCCTGACGT